TAGTATAGTAAAGCACGATTTATAATAACCAGTATGACAAAAATTGGAATATTGTATTGCTTTCAAAGCAATAAAGAGATCCTTCAGAAAAATTAGCTAAATAAATTGAGCTTTCCATTCCACTGTCAATAAAGTATTCGTAAAACTGTACAAATACAAAAACTCTTGACAAACTCGGCAATTTCATCGTCCACTCTGAGGTAACGCCCCAAACGGTAAAAACAGTCTAAAACAAAAACATTTTTTAATATTAACGACCTTTGGTATGATTATTACTTGACTTAATGAATTATGACAGGCTTTAGACGATAACGTGCACCGTGATCAAATACAACAACAACAATATGTTAATGATGCTCAGTAATGTAAAGAAAATCACAATAAATTAAATACTAGAATAACACACGAATAATTGAGTTTACTTACACACTGGATTAAACACAGATCTCATTCTATAAAATTGGAATGTAAACAAAGTGAAGCGGATTTTACTTCGACAACCTTTAATAAGATTTAGAAACAATAGTCTAAAAATGTTCACTTATTTTGTGATTTGGTTGTTCTAAGGAAAGATTGATTTGTTTCTCTGTGCTTAGCTGATATATTGATGGCCACACATACGACCATAAAGTAGTTTACCGGCATGACTGGACTAGATGAAATATATATATTTTTACAAATACTTAATAAAGATAATTTAGGCTGACTACATCTGTAATATACTTAACTATAAATAATTTAATGTGCCATCTTTATCAAAATTTTAGAAGTAGTAAAGTATTTCAAAACTTCTCTTCTTTTGTTATTAACGGCGAATTATTGTCAACGATCTAAATATTGAAAACAACATGTACATTTTATTTACACATTTGAAAACTGTTCATAATTTCTTTTTCTTTTCAGAAAAGTACATCCTGTACGTCAGTTGGAGTTTCTGGTTGTGAACTTGATGAAGAGTTTGAAGCTAGGCTAGTTTTGTTACCGCTAGGAGGTGTTGTATTAGACTTCGCCAGTGTTGTTTGAGATGTGTTTCTGTTTGATTCAACAATTTCTTCTATTTGTTCCACGCAGCACCAAATTGTTTTCTAAAATAAGGAATAAAAAATAATAAATCTAAAATTCAAGCAACAGTCAATTTTTTTACAAAAAGGAATATAAAAGACTAAAGTTAAAATTATAATTCCTCAAACCTACCTTTGACCACACCGTGGGGCTTTTAGCATTATAAGGTATCTGTATTTCAAATTGAAAATAATAAATTTATAACTAATATGTTAGTATCAATATGCATTATAAATCTCATGTCAAGACTTCTCAAATAAATACTTTATCCAGTCTGTGACATTACTTCAATCATACAGTTAATGTTTTCACGCAAATAAATTATTCCCCAATTATTGTTTGTTTGTTTTGAATTTCGCGCAAAGCTACACGAGGGCTATTTGCGCTAGCCATCCCTAATTTAGCAGTATAAG